AAAAAAAAAAAGCAGGACATGGTGGTGCACGCTTAGAGTGCCAGCTACTCAGGAGACTGAGACCGAAGGATCACCTGAGCTCAGGAGATTGCAGCTGCGGTGAACTATGGCTGTGCCACTGCATTCCAACTGAGTTCTGAGACCCTGACTCAAATTTAAAAAAAGAAACAGAAAGAGAGAAAGCTGAAAACTATGTGTTTAATGTATTTATAGCATACACATGTCTGAGCAGGCTGAATATATTTGTGTATGGTGTACGTATTGATTTCCAAGGGCAATTACACTTTTAAAACAGTGGAGAGACTTCTTGACATAGACTCAGTAAGGGAGTGAAGCCAGGAAGGAGGTGGGCGTTGTGGGGAAGTGGGGATTAATCTGGCTAAATTGTGGGTCCTGGCAAACAGTAAGGTTACCCAGAGAAATACGAGAAAGGAAATGACTCAGTCACGTTGGGAGAGGGAGCCGGGATGGGACCGCAGAATGAGTGAATGGCACATCCTGGGTTGTAGGGGTTGTGGATGGAGCCCGGGGCACTAAATGATGAGAACAATAGGAGAATTTAGTTTCAGATGGAACCATCAGGGCTGTCCTGAGGGCCTCTTGTGGGCCATAAGCTCTCCCTTGCTTTTTGCATTCGGCCTGTGAGCCACTCCTGATTTCGCTTGAGCCAAGCCTCAGACCTGATGTCAGACTGACTTGTCTCCAGAGCTGGGAATCTGAGTGGCTTTCTTCTCCGAGTTGTTTTGAGCTATTAGAACTGTTCGCTTCAGAAATGTTCCCTCTTGTACTCCAGGCTTGGGGGAATGCAGTGAGTGACACTTTTAATTAACAAATCTGCTGGGAACAAAACTCCTTTAAGTGTGTTGGCTGGGTACTGGGCTTGAAGGGTGGGCTGCGAAACTCCCACGGCTCTGTGGGAGTGCTGGGACTACAAGCCACAGTGAGTGGTACATCTTTGCCGTCAAAACTGTCGAGATGAGGGCAGGAACCTTCACCCAGAAGGCCCCTCACTCTGTCCTAGTGATAAAGTTGGCAGGCCAGGGTGGCCCTCCTTAGGCGAACTCATCTGCCGCTTAAGATGTGAAGCTTTCTGCACGGGGTGTTCCTGCTGTCACCACCATCAGGAGCCACGGCCCTCTTGTTCGGGATGGGAGGAGCTGGGGGGAACTGGCATTTGGGAATGGATCATCGGCTCCAGTGTTCTTCCTACAACTGGTGGCTGAATTTCTGACCACAGGGTGTCCTCATATATCTCTCCCCAAGTGACATATATTACCACATCTCCCTGGGGTCCACGTAGCATCTACGTCCATGGCGTCTGAGAGTCTAAGAAAGGTTCAGGCAAGAGAGAAGGATTTTTTTTCTTCTGGTTCCAGAGTGGAAAATATTTATGGGGGACATGCTTACCTTGGAAGACATTTTTTAGTAAGATGGGTTCTGAAGGAACAATCAAAGGATTTCTTAGCTCTGATTATTTTGCTAAAAACAGTTACTTAACTCTGACGTTCTCATTGATTTGTTCCTCACTTCTGAGACTGGTTGTGAGCTTCTACCCACCCAAAAGACGACAGTCAGTGAAAGATTTAAAACGGAATTATCCTTTTTAAACTACAGGTGTAACTAAGACTATTGTCTTTATTTTTGTTTTTTTTATGCTTAGGAAAATTATTTTCATCTCTTTAGTTCACTCTTTTTCTCCATATATTAAAAAAAAAACAAGATAGTCTCAGTTATTTTAATCCCTTCAGTTCATTTTTGATTTTTTTTTTTTTTTTTGAGCTGGAGTCTCACTCTGTTGCTCAGACTGGCATGCAGTGGCATGCTCGCAGCCACTGCAGCCTCCACCTGCTGGGCTTAGGCGATCTTTCCACCTCAGCCTTCCAAGTAGCTGGAACTGCAGGCACGTACCACCATGCCTGGCTAACTTAAAAAAAAAAATTATTGTAGAGACAAGTTCTCACCAAGTTGCCCAGACTGGTATCGAACCCCTAAGCTCTGGCAATCCTCTTGCCTGGGCCTCCCAAAATGCTGGGATTACAGGCATAAGCCACCACGCCCAGCTCAACAGTTAATCTTAACTTTGCTTTCTTCCCTCAGGCTGACTTTTAAATCAAAATCAGTCATTTAAAAGTCTTCTTAGGAAAACATCCAAGTTTTCACTTAAGGCGATAGATGAGTTTCCCAAGGCAATACCTCCAAATCTTGGATGAAGAAATCTGAAAAAGAATTTTAGCAGTGGCAGCATTTATATGTGAGGAAACAGAAACAAAACAAATTCAGTTTCAATGTGAGGCGGTTTGTAGACCTAGGATTAAAACTAATGATAGTAATACTGGTTTCCTACACTAAAGATTCCAAGAAGGCCATTGTTATTGCAAATAAGCCATATTTAACAGAAAGCACAGTCAGGCTCCTTTTTTTGTGTGTCTAAGGGGCTTGACTTGGGAGACTGCACGCCTGGTTGCAAGGCCAGGACAAAAGAGTCACGTTCAGTTTCTTCTATCAAAGTTTATCTTTGATGGATAACGATCTCTGATGCCATTTATGAAACTAATTTGCTCATCTTTTTTTTCTTTTTGAGTTGGAATCTCACTCTGTTCTCCAGGCCGTGGTGCAGTGGCACGCTCCCGGCCACTGCAGCCTTGACCAACTTGGGCTCAGGCGACCCTTCCGCCTCAGCCTTCCAAGTAGCTGAACTACAGGCGTGTCACCACACCCGGCTAATTTTTTGATTTACTGTAGAGATGAAGTCTCACCAAGTTGCCCAGCCTGGCCTCGAACCCAGCAATCCTCTCACCTCGACCTCCCAAAGTGCTGGGATTATAGGCGTGAGCCACTGCACCTGGCTAATTTGCTCATCTTTAAGATCTATATATCTGTGGAAGGAATATGAGGGCCGATTGGTAGCAATTAGGTAAATTGGGGAAATTTACCCCAGTTGCTGCTGGTTTAATTAGGCCTTATATTCCCCCAATATCTATTCATCTTCCTTCCTTTCTTCCTCGCCCCGTCCTTCCCTCCTTGACTCTCTCACTAAAAGAAGAACTTGGTGGAGTGGGACAGGGTTTGTAAGGCACCAGGAGTGACTTGTGACATGACTGCGGCTGGGGAGGCGATAGGCAAAGCCAGAGGCCGTGTCCACAGTTCTCAGGGCGTACTGGAAACCCCAGGGCAGAAGCTCAGGTTGGGCTAGTTTCTATGTGATTAAGTCATAGTAACAAGTCCTGGAAATTGTATATGGTCAAAAGCGTAATCATGTTGGAAACCTTCATGCCTCAGTCTCCAAGTTTCTCCCTAAGGTTACTTCCTGCTACTCTGTCCTCCAGCTATTTGGTTGTCACCTTGCTTGAAGGTGAGCTGCCTAAGGGTTTTATAAGCCCTCCTTGCGGATCTTGCCTTATACTTGTACTACAAGAATTCACTAATGTTGTGTTAAGAGACTGGTCTCCCAGCTGTGTGTGGTGGCTCAAGCCTATAATGCTAGCACTTTGGGAGGCCGAGGTGGAGGATTGCTTGAGCCTGGGATTTCAAGACCAGCCTAAGCAACCATAGTGAGACCTCCTCTCTACAAAAAAAACAAACAAGCAAACAAAAACAACTATCATAACATTATAATAAAGGGATTGGCAGTAGTGGGAAACTGCCAGGGAAGAGGGGAACACACCTCATCAACAAGGGTACCTGCATAATGAACATTTGTATACCTAACCCTGAATTGTACCCCACAGCTTTAAAATAAAAAATTAGCTGGGAATTGTGGTGCATGCCTGTAGTCTTAGCTACTTGGGCGATCACCTGAGCCCAGGAGGTCAAGGCTGTGGTAAGCTGTGATGGTGCTACTGCACTCCAGCCTGGGCAACACAGTGAGACCCTGACTCAAAAAAAAAAAAAAAAAAGAACTCGTTTCGTGGCCTCATCTTTGGTTGGGGACAGGTAGAGGGATCCTCAGTAAGTCGGTTCTGTGAGCTGGGAGAGTGCGGCTGTTGGGGAGGGGCACAGATCATGGCACCCCAGGGATTGGATGGCTGGGAAGCTCTAAGCAACCAGGGAACACAGGCTTCTTGGGCTGAGAAAGTTCATGGCAGGCAGGGGCTGCCTGGACAGCTGAGTCTTGGGCTTATGTCTGGAGAGCCCTCTGCAGTATTCCCATGGTGGCCCAACTGGGAAGGAAGGATGAATGGGCACATGTTTCCATGGCTGAAACCAAACACAATTTGTCAGCCCTGTGGAAGCAGATCCGAGGGAAGATCCAGCGTCAGTCATTAACTGTTGTGCTGTTATTGGTGATGGTGATAATGATAATGATGCTGACAATTAAAAAGGTAATTGTTTTCCTTCTTTTAGTCACATAGAAAAAATCACCACGTGGCAAGACCCTAGGAAGGCGATGAATCAACCCCTGAATCATATGAACCTCCACCCAGCCGTCAGTTCCACACCAGTGCCTCAGAGGGCCATGGCCGTGTCGCAGCCGAATCTGGGTAAGCCCCAGGCTTTGACTCTGTTTGACCAAGAGGCTGTGGACACAGAGCAGCTCTGTTGTCTCCTGTCTGTTCACGCACCCAGATCCTGTCCTGTCCCCACCCCCTGGCTGTATTACCATGTGGCCCTTCTGCTTCTTTTGCTTTTTATGGCCTTTTTTCCACCAGATGCTGCTGCCTAAGGTTTACACTGCACCTGCGGCATCCCCTTCTGTTGTCTTAACTGGAGTTTTTTGAAAATGAGGCCTGGCGTGGTGGCTCAAGCCTGTAATCCCAGCACTTTGGGGGACCGAGTCGAGAAGATTGCCTGAGCTCAGGTTCGAGACCAGTCTGGGCAACTTGGTGAGACCTCGTCTCTACAATACATCAAAAATTAGCCGGGTACGGTGGCACACGGCTATAGTTCCAGCTGCTTAGAAAGCTGAGGTGGAAAGATCACCTGAGCCCAGCAGGTTGAGGCTGTGGGGGTTGTGAGTGTGCCACTGCACTCCAGCCTGGGTGACAGAGTGAGATTCCATCTCAAAAAAAAAAAAAAATT